TGATCACACAAGCAGGGCCCCTCAGCAGTGTCCTAACCGACACAGGCACGAAGGTGGCAGTGGTCTTCGCCCCAGGGGACCGGCCCTCTGAACCCTCTGCCCTCAGGTCATGCCTCCTCTGGGCTCACAGTGACACCCTCATCATCCTTTCCAGCCTTAACCTCTTAGGTTCCCACTCCAGTTCTGTCTCCCTCACCATCCTGGCTGCTCCAACTCTCAGTTCTCTCGAGGGAAGTCCTGCCTCAAAGGCCAGTGGATGGCACATGTCTACAGGGACGTTACAGGCAAGGATGGCCCTGGGGGCCAGAGGGAGGACCACTTCCAAGGGGCATTTCAGAGCATGCGGGCCCCATTCCACCTAAAAAGAGCAAAACGCCGGAATGAGAACAAAGTGGAGCAAGAAACAAGAGCCTGAGATGGGAAAGACAGCCCTCGGAGCTCTGGACAGGACAGGGACAAGTGAGAGCAGAGCGTGCAGCAGAGGTGGAGTTATAGGGCAGCACACAGGCACCCCCACTTGCTGTTGGGCTGGGAGGAACACCAGATGCAAAGATGCAAGCTGGGACTGGGTTCAGAGGCTTCCCTGTGGGCCCACCAGGTCCACAGAACAAAGGCTCTAGAACCAAGGACAGAGTCAGGAAACAAAGGTCAAGGGCAGAGCAGAGACAGGCTATCAGTGGCCACCGGCAAGGCCAAGAGACAGAGATGTATGTCAGGGCTGGGCCAAGGGAAGTGTGGCCAGCCAGGTTTCATGCAGCTGAAAACATGGATGGGCCAGGTTCGGGTAGGGGTGCTCACACGGCCTACAGCAGAGGCCACAGGCGGCTCCAACCCAGCTCAGCACCGACAGAGGTGCAGGTGGCCGTGTGTTTCCTCTCTAGCAATAAGGAAAGTGAGGCCCGTGACCCACAAGTACCCCGCCTCACAGCATGGACCCTGCGCTGCTTGCATGTGGCACGCAACACACATTCCCTCCGGCACTCTCACAACGTGAAGGGCTGAATGACAAAACTAGCATTCCATCCATCTAAAGCCACCAGGAAACCCAGGAGGCCCCCCAGGGGTGCAGCACCAAACACATTCCCACTCTCTGCCCAAAACCTGCCCACACCCCACAACGGAGCAGGGCCACCTGGAAAATGTGCCCCCGGCCACACCGAGTCCCAGCAAGACTGGGGAACAGACTCCCAGGAGCCCTCTTGAGGAGCTCAGGCAGGAAACGCCTGATGACCGACTGGCCTCTAGGTCTCAAAGAGCCTCTGCCTTCCACCGGGGCCACAGAGTTTGTCACTTCCACTCCAGGCGGGATGACTGGGGCAAGGTGCTTCCCCAGAGATGGGACCAAGGTGCGGCCAGTGAATGTCCAGAGCTGAAGCCCAGACAGCGCCTCGGGCAGCTTCTGGAGGCTGGGCAGAGCTGACACGGGGCAGTCAGAAACCCCACTGAGCCTGTGTCCCTCTGAGTCAGCAGACACATATCCAGTCCAAGACACATACTGCCGGCCGCTCCTACCTGCCCAAGCAGGCGCCCTAGCAACAGCCACCCATGCCTGGGCCCCGGACTCCTTTTATTCTTTGAACCACATGTATGAAGAGAGGCTTCAACACATCTCCTTGCAGGAGCCCACACAGTGGGCCAAGTCTTCCCGGGCTTTCCTGGATTCTAAGGCTGTCCGTGACTATTTCCCTTTAACCAGACTTTTCTGCTTCTGTCAACAATAAAAAATGAGAGACACTTCACCGTGGAGAAAAGATGTAATCCTAGTAGGTGGTAAACAGAAAAGTGTCTCACCCACCATTGGCCGCACCTTCACCACCAACAGCTCCCCTTTCAGCAGCCTCTGTCCCTGCCCCAGCCCCGCCATCCAGACTACTCGGTGGCCAGCACCTTCACAGCTGACAGAGAGACCTCCCAATGGCGTGGCCCTCCATCAGTACACACAAGGCACATTTAAACGGCAGCCCTTTTTATTTTTGATAGTTTCGCTTCCTCTCATTTCCTCAGCTTGCACTAACCCTAATACTCAAAGTGGAACAAACCACAGTGTCCTACAAAGTGAGAGTAAAAGGGGCCTCCATGAAACAAAACTGCAAAACACTTCTTTCCCTCCCACAAGACTTAAAAATTACCACTGAGGGAGTACAAGGGAGAACTAGGCTTCCAGGGAAATAAAATCCTAGTTTCGACAGGACTTGTTTGGAGTTCACCTGTTTCGCCCAACGCACACTAATGAGCAGGTGGATAAAAACGAAGCCAAGTGCATCAAAGGAAATGCGAGATCACCCGGCACGATGCACCTGCAAGTTTCGTCACGCACAGGGCACCCAGCCCTTTGCCTGCAGGTCTGACGGGCCCATGGCGAAACTGCTCCGCCCGCTGAGCACAATTTCCTCTTGCCCGGGAGCCTCAGTCAGACTTCCTGACCCTCCAGAGGAGAAAAGGAAACTGGGGCACAGCACAGCTCTGAAGACTTCCCAGGAGAGGTAGGGGCTCAGGAGGCTCTCGAAGGGATGTGCCTGGTACCAGGAGCTGCAGCGCCAGGGCCGCTGCTTCATGGTGGTTTCATTCATTCGCTTCCCAGGACTTCAGCTGGCTGCGTCAGACAATTGCTCACCATCGCTCAGGGCAAATCTCTCCAGATAAAGCCAGTGGTGCTATTGCCAAACTGCAGAAATGCTCTGCCCCAACAGCATGAACAGCATCTTCCTTGTCCCTTGCCAACACATGCCCAGCTGGGTGGTGGAAGGATCAGCTTTTCTAAGCCTTTGGGAAATCTTTTTATACCGTAGGAGGAAGGGGGAAAAGAAAACTTCTCTCCTTCTGAATGTGAATCTTGGAAACATCCTAATAAACAGCACCTCCCCATGCCCACCAACTTAACTCCATTGAAATGGGTCCCAACCCATGCACACAGCCTGCGGGGCCAGGACAGCAAGCCTGCCTGTCCTCCCTATTTAAGCACAATCTAGGCCCCTCGCCTTGGAGGGAGAAACAGGAAGCCTGGGAACCAACAAACAAGCACCACGCTGCTCACAAAAAAAGGAAAGTGGCTGCGGACACAGCCCCATACCCCTACCGAGAAGGCCACTGACCAGAGGGGATCAGTCAGGGAACACCGGCCAGCAGGCACTGCTGTACCCTGGGAGGCAGCTGGCACAGCAGGGACCCAACAAGCTCTGCCTGCCTGTAGGCCCCTGGGTAGTCACACTGGCTCCCAGACTGTGGTCAAGGCAACCTTCTGACGTTGCTGGCTCCCAACTTCTGTGCAGCCATGGGGAGGGGAGGGCAGGGCAGAGCGTGGAGGGCAACTCCCAGATGAGGCTGAAGGAGCCGCTGGGGGATGCCAGGAGACCTCAGGAAGGCAGGTGGCTGCCTGGGCAGAGGTGGCCAACACACCTCTCCAGAGGTCAGCCCCCCACCCAGGCAGCACCCACACAATGGGCAGGGCTGGCAGAGCCACTGTGGAGCAACAATGGGACCACATTTTGTCATACCAATCTGCGCTCCTGACCTCAGGCTTTCAGCAGAACTCATGCCAAAAGCTTAAAAACCCAACCTTCAATCTAACCATCTCACGCCACCAATCTCTACCAGAATGATCAACATCACAAATGCACGACACCTCGAGGATCGCAGACCGATGACACGTGGGTCCCCAGGACCCCTTGGGTTGGCCCAGCCTGCACTGACCTCTGCTGGGGCAATTAAACTGTGAGCCATAATCACAGCCCCTTTGGGTGCCCCCCCACACAGAGCCCAAGGAAAATGAAAGCCTAAATTCAAACAAAAACTTCTATGTGAAAGGCAGCATTACTCACAAAAGCCAAAAGCGGCCATTCAATGGAGTGTTACTCAGCCATAAAAAGGTACAGTGGTTCAGGCCTATAATCCCAACAATGGGAAGCTGAGGCAGGAGGACTGCAAGTTTGAGCCCAGTCTGGGCAACTCAGAGATACCCTTTTATATAGAAGGCAACTCAATACAAAAGCCCTAGGTTCAAAGTGCTCAATGCAAGAAGCCAGGTGCAAAAGGCCACGTACCATGTGTTTCTATCTACTTAAAAAGTCCAAGCCAACCCAGACAACGAGCACAGAGCAGGCCTGTGTGGTGGGCAGGGCCGTGTGCGTTCTGGCACAGGCAGCGCGAGGTTGTACCCCTGGGGACACTCGTGTGACCGAAGCACAACAGCTGTCCGTGCGGATGGCAGAGGGCTGGGAGTGCTTCCTGACACGCTTCAGAACAGCCCTCCGACAGCAAGCCCAGACACCCAGCAGGGCTGCAGGATGCAGCGAGTGCAGCCACACACGGCGCAGCGCTCCCCACACTCACAGCCCGCAGCAAGGAAGGATAGACAGGAGCCTCCTTCAGACGCACGCTGGGGGCCCTGCTCCTGAAGAGGCGAGCACTGCTCTGAACAAGTCACCACAACCGAGAAGGAGCAGAGAGGCTGCCCGCAAGCCCGAGGCCTTGGACGGCAGCTCGCGCCTCCCAAAAACACTGGCCCACAGCTTCCTGGCCTCAGCCACTCAGGCCTCACCTCTTCAGGGAAACTCAATCCACCTTTCCTCCTCACAGGCACTAAAGTGCAAAAGAAAAGCAAGGCAGAGGCTGGTACGGGCAGGAGTGGACACGGGCAGCTCTGAGGATGCCAGGCTCTGCGCCTCACACGGACTTGAGAAACAGAACCCACACCTCTGAACAACATCGGAGTTCAGGCCATGAGCCTTCTCTTGTTAGGGCTGGCTCCAAACACTGTGCTTTCCAACAGAACCGGAGGGACACCTGCGCGAAGGGCTTCGCTGTGGCTCCATGGGCACCACCGCCCTCTGGTGGCAACACAGGGCACTCAGCACGCCACAGCAGTGGAAAAGGAACCATGTCCTGTGGGGTCAACAAATCCCACTACTACGTGACTCCAACACAGAATCACAGGCAGCCAGTGTCTGTAGCCCAGGAAGCACTGCTGCCCCCACTCCCAGTGCGGTCCCCAAGGTGCTCACCAGGGCTTGTAGCATCCCATCCATGGCAATGACCCCATTGATGGCATGGAAGGAAGAGCAGGACAAGGTGCTGAGGCTCCAGTCCAAGAAGCTGGCCATCTTCCTCTGCTTGACATCAGGGCGTGTGATAAATCTGTGGAAGAGGCAGACACACAAGACACAGCAAGGGCTCAGCAAGGCTTGACACCCAGTGCCCACCAGCCCCGGATGTGGCACTCAGACATCCTCCCTGTCGTGCAGAGCCCTCACGTAGCCTGTACGCCCACACAGCCCCCTTCGCTGACTCCTGCTCACTCAGCCCCACCAGGATCTCAGGCCCCAGGCACCCATTCCCACCAGCCAGCACCAGTCTGCCTCTCGACCCTTCCTCCTCCCCTGCATCCTTAACCTCAGGATGCACGTCCCCAGCAGCTGGCCCAGCACGTACCTTCAGCCCCAAGTCCTCTCTCACCACCACTGCTCCCCCCAGCTGCCACACAGCCCTGTCTCCTTATGCTCGACGGCCCAGCTGAGGAGGTACAGAGAGCAAACCCCCAGCCCTCAGCCAGAGTGGGCATGGCCAGCTCTCACACTGAGTGACTAGAGCCTGCCCCTGCCCTGGGCTTCACCCAGAGAAAGAGCAAACCCGCAATGAGAGACATCAGGAAGGACCAGCAGGCAAGCAGGCGCGGGAAGGGCCCCTCCGAGAGGGCAGAGCCTGTCCGAGGCCTGCGACAGGCAGGCTGAGCGAGGAGACAGTCAGCTGCAGCTGGCGGGCCACAGCCTCCCCCATCGCTGGGCCATCCCTTGTCGCTCTGCCCACCCACAGCTCCCGCCCGTGCCTGCCCACCAGCGGGCTTCGGCAGGGCCAGCTCCACACTCTGGGTGGCCAACCCTCTCGGAGCACCAAGTCCAACCACGACATGATGCTCAGTAGAAAGTGGGCACACGCTGGGCTGCTGGATGCCCTGCTGGCATGCACCGCCGGAACGCTCGCAACAGACTCACTGCCAGGCAGGAAACACCCACACCCCCGTGCCCATCCTGAAGGACAGCTGGGTGCTCGGCACCCCCTTTTCCAAACATCTCAGTTGGATTCCTGCTGGGCCTGGCTGGTCCTCGTGTCCACTCAAGGCGCAGGGACCCAGTGGGCCCTGAAGCGCCTGTGCAGCCGTGTCCCCTGTAGCACCCCAGGCCGTGGCTTGTGGAGGCTCTTGGGCACTGCACCTCACTGCCCCTCCCGCATGTGAAGTTGTACAGAGCCACCACCATGCCCTAAAAGAGCCCCACATCTCCTGTTAAGTCACAAAAGCAAACAGGCTCTACTGTTGTCTTCTCTGCTCCCAAAGGTTGCTCCCACATCTGGATACCCCCGACGGTCAGCTGAGAGCTGAACGTCCAGCTCCCATGCCCTCCTGAAGCACCCCTCAGTGGATCTAAAAGGAGCCGGGGGCTTCACCGTGTGCACCCCAAGGTGAGGACTGGAACCCTACGCACCATTTCCATTCCCACGGCACAACCAGTGTAAGCAACCAGAGGCGGCTCCGACTGCGGCCTGACCCGGGTCCCCAAGATGGACACAGGGGCACTCTCCACAGGTACCGCCCTGAAGGGGGCCAGAGCCTGAACCCAGACCCAGGCCCAATCCCAGCAGCCAGTCAGCCACAAGCACCCCTGTAACCAACCGCCCTACCCTCCACTCCCCCTGGAGAGCCCTCAGGGTGCAGCTCCAGCACCCTCTGCACCCAGCCTCGCCTCCAGTCTCACCCACGCACCCAACCCTGCCCCTGTACCAAGCACCCTCTCGGCCTCCCCTTTCGTACCAGCCTCACCTGTGGACCCATGATGCCCCTGAACCTGCACCCCCAGGAACTGGGCCTCCCCCTGCCCCAGCCTACCAGCCGCAGAGGCCACATGCTCTTATCTGACTGAACTCTGGTCCTGAGGAAAATCACAAAAGGGGCATTTCCAAGTGAGAAGGGAACTTAAGGCTGCTCTGCAGCGAGTGGGTTATTGGTATTTTTCTTATTAAAAAAAAAAAGAACAGTAAAAGGTCCAAAAATACAAATAAGCAAAGCGGACACATTGCAAAGATGCACACAGGCGGGGCCGTCCACGCGAGGGTCCCGACTCCTAGACTGCTTCCCGTTCAGCCACGCTCACAGTAGACATGGGCCGCATTCACAGCTCCACCTACCTACACACGCTAGGGGATGGCCCGAGACGGCAGCCTCTCAGAGGGAAACGCCTCCCCAGCACACAGGCACCACTGTCCCTGTGCTCTGCTCAGGGCCCACAATGCAGCTCAGCACCAGCAGCACAGGTCTGACCAGCATCATGAGCTGTGTCCGGAGAGACAGAAAACAGAAAATGTTCCTAACATCATGCTAGAGCCAGGCACGGTGGTGCACACCTGTCATTCCCAGCACTCTGGGAGGCTGAGGCAGGAAGATCAGTGTGAGTTCAAGATCAGCCTGGGCTACAGAATGAGTTCAAAGCCAGTCTGAACTACACAGTGAGACCCTGTATCCTGTACCAGAGGAAATTCCAAGTGGAATTATTCTACATTAAAACACTCAAGCACAGGGTGAGAAAAGTGACTACTTGTTAAAGTTTCTTCAAAGCTGGTAACTTTTGAGCTTAAAAGTAAAAAACAATTAGTAAAAGAAGAATGACTGGTTTGACTTAAAACTTTTAGTCCAAACCTGGAGTAAAATGCCAGTAATCACCTGGGAATCTCATGCTGTAGGGAAGGGAGACTCTGTACCCTGAACCAGGAGTCATAGCACAGGGGCACACAATGCCCAAAATGGAAGACACGCAGAAGCAGGGGCCAGGGATTTAGCTCAGCGGTTCTGCCGCCTCTGCACCGTCACAAGAGCAACGACCTGAGTTCGATCCCTGGTCCCAAAAACAAAACAAAACAACAACAAAAAAAAAAACACAGAAGCAGCATGTGCGACCCAGGGAGACTCTGAAGCAAACCAGACATGCTCCGCCCAGGGGGCAGGGCCTCTTCCCTGGCCCGCAGGGAGCCTGGCGGGGCTGAGCTCTGTACCAACAACACCTGGCAAGCAGAAGTCACGCCTGTGCCCCAAGACATCTGCCTCAAAGGGAAGGTCTGCAAGAGACAGCCAGAGCTCAAAACAGACTCACAGAGGAGGACACGGCCACACGCCATACACACACACAAGACGCACAGGCCACTGAATCAGCAGCCACTGGAGCCAACAAAAATGCCAAGTGCCACTTCTAAGACAAAACGTGCACATCTATTTCAGGAACAGCACAGAAAGAGGACAAAGCACAGCACACACGTATGTTAGTATCACAAATGTTAAGTTTTTCCCTGCTCCATCTTTTCTACATGGAGCATACTTTGCTTCTCTGCTGCTGCTTTTCCCCCTGAAATGCAGACTTGCTCTGCCGCTGGGCTGAACTCTGGGGCTTCAGACAGGGCACTGACTACAGGGTTGTACCACATCACCCTGCATGCTTTTCATCACTACAACAAGAATAAAGGTGTTGTCAGGCACAGTGATGAACACCTGTCATCCCAGCACTTAGGAGGCTGAGGCAGGATCCCCATGAGTTCAAGGTCAGCCTGGGCTACACAATTAGACCCTGTCTCAACAAACAGAAAAGGGGGGGGAGGAAGGGGGGGCGGGAGAGAGAGAGAGAGAGAGAGAGAGAGAGAGAGAGAGAGAGAGGGAGAGAGAGAAAAAAGAAAAGACTGTTTACCTACTGTAGGGTACCTACCAGACCACACTCCTTTCTAAGCATCTCTGTCACACTATCTAGAGTCAGAGGAAGCACCCAGGGTTAAAGTGCAGCTAACAAAGGAGGAAGTCAGGGTCAGGGCAGCAGAGGAAGAGCAGCAGAGACCCAGGAATGGAGAAACAGCAGTGCTCAACAGCACAGGCACTTGGCCCGCTCCTCACCCCCAACCTGAAGACAAATTTGAGGCACAGGTAGATCCAAAGCCACACACCCCTGAGGCTCTCCCAGCAGCCACATCTGTCCACTCTAATACACAGGACGTACCCGGCCACACCACACATGCAGTCCATGGCCAGCAGGAGCCCTCCACGTGCCAGGCTGAGACCAGCTCCACCAGAGCAAGTCTGCTCAGCACAGCACCAGGTGGCACTGGAGCTGCATCCCCGCCACCTGCTGTCCCAGCGCCACTCTGCCCTAAGACACAGGTGAATACACACACGCATGGGTCTGGCCTTCCAGTCAACACAGCCCAGAGTCAAAGTCATCACCAGTCTGCCATGCTCATGACTGTGGGCCCCAGTAATAACAATAAAAACAAGCCAGGCACAGCAGCGCATGCCCATAATTCCAGCACTCGGAGAAGCTGAGGCAGGATGATCCCAAGTTCCAGCCAGCCTGGGCAACTTAGTGCCTTAGCAAGACACTGTTTCAAAATCTCAAAAAAGGTCTTGGGACATAGCTCAAGATGTAAAAAAAAAAAAAAAAAAAAAAAAAAAAAAAAAAAAAAGACGTAGTTTTTCACTTAACCAAGTTCGTAGACATCTGCAAGGTCACACCATTGGTAAATACGGAAAAGAAGACTTTTTCAACTTGTTCAGTCTGTGCAGGAATTGTGTCCCAAGCCCCTGGGACTCTCGCTCCACTGTGTCAGTCACACTGGTTTAAAGTTTAGGAGGGTCTGCATGCACCAAAGGTCGGCAGCCCCACCCCACCCCACATGGTGGGAAAAGGTGGGTGGCAGGGTGGAGGGTGCAGCACTCTCCACAGACAGGATACAGATGTGGACACAAATGCACAGGCGCTCACACCTATAAAGAGAAATCCGTCATGGCAGCGGGTATAACAATCCCCAATTTGAAACTATACTACAAAGCACTGTGATAAAAACAGCATGGTATTGGCAAAGAAACAGACCTGAGGATCAGTGGAACAGACTGGAAGACACAAAAATGTACTCAGCTACATCTTTTTTTTTTTTTTTTTTTTTTTTGGTTTTTTGAGACAGGTTCTCACTATGTAGTTGAGACTGACCTGGAACTCACTATGTAGCTCAGGCTAGTCTCAAACTCACAGCGCTTCTCCTGCCTCAGCCTCCCGAGTGCTGGGATTACAGGCATGCACCACCACGCCCAGCTAGCTACCTCATTTTGACAAAGGAGATGACCATCCTCACTAGAGGAAAGATAGCCTCTTTAATAAATGCTGTTGGAAAAACTGGATTTCAACTTGCCAAAGATTAAAACTAGACCCTTATCTTTCACCATGCACTAAACTAAAATCCAAGTGGATTCAAGATCTAAATATTAAAAAAGAAACACTAAACTTGCTGGAAGATAAGTTAGGCAGAACTCTTGAAGACACTGGCATAGGAGAAGACTTTATGAACAAATCCTCAGTAGCATGGGAATTAGCAGAAAGAATCAACAACTGGGATCTCATCTTATTAAAAAGCTTCTTATTAAAAAACTCAATGAGAAAAAAAAAAAGAGAGAGAGAAGTCTGTTGTCACCTGAGCCCTGGCTGAGCCAGGAGCCGCCATGCAGGATTCTTCTTGCAGAGGAGCCATCCCAGGGGAGGCCTAGATGGCCAGGACCCGGGATCCAACCTCCAGCCCAGCCCCTGCTCTAGCCGAGGTGCTGCAGGACCCCTCCGCAAGCTCCCACTCCCCACACAGCAAGAGCCTCACACACAGCACACGGGGGGACCCAGGAAGGAGCCATCTGTCCACGCTGACACGTGGGGACCGGAGATGCTCATTCCACACCCCGAAGTGAGGGATGCTCAGTAGTCTGTCTTCTCAGTCAAAACCATCACAAGGTTATACGACCAACTTTCAATGGTCACCAACATAGCTGGAGAAAAAATGCCAGACTTTCTAACTAACTTAAGCATATATGTATTTAAAATCATGTGTCATACCAGGCACAGCGCCATTTTCTGAAATCCTAGAAATAAGTAGCCAAGGCAGGAGGTTTACAAGTTTTGAGTCCAGCCTGGGAACTTAACAATTTAGCAAGACCCCACCTCTCAAAATAAAAAATAAAATACAGCTCAGTGTGAAGACACTGGTTCAATCCCCAAGACCAGCAAAGAAAGAAAGAAAGAAAAAGCCAGGAATAGAGAGGAGGGAAGCGGAAAGGAGGGGGCCACCTGTCACATATAACATTGACTTCCCACATCTCAGGAAAGGCTCGCACAGCTGCCCATCCCCAGCTGTGCCCACAGGTGCACAGAACATCTGGAGATCTTTATGCCAACCACAGGGCCTAGGATGCTCCTGAGCTCACAGATTACACTGTGACTGCTTCTGAGCCACTCTCAAAGGCCGGGGATGCCACAACTCCAAGAGGATCATATGCACGACCCCTATGGCACCAGGAGACCCCCTCAACCCCACACAAGCACCAGGCAGCTCTGAGGGTGGTTTCAGAGCCTCATCAAGCCTCACGCTTCCTGGAACACAGCAAGCACACCTGAGAAGCCCCTGCTCCAGTCACATGACCCCAACACATCCCAGGGCCCCACAGGACTTACTTGGACACCAGGACAGCAGCCGCATCACGAGCTTTGTCACTGACCAGCAAGTAGGACTATGAGAAATTTGACAGGTTTCAATTACCATTCTTATCTTTATTTTCTAGGTTTTCTATAATGATTGCGTATTACTTGTACAATATTAAAAGTCAAATATAAAACAATCCCTTAAATTTTTTACTGTTACCCCTAAATTTCTCACAATGCTCACATTTTCTCTTTAACACAGAACTTGCATTATCTATAAAGAAATGTTTGCTAACATAAGCCTGATGTCAATTTCAAAAAGAGCTTAGGTGGAATTTTCTCTCACTGAAAAACAACACCCGCAGTTGAAGAAATTGATAAACAACCAAAAGTTTACCTAATTAGACTCTGACTTCAGGACAGCATTAACCCAATGAGGACATAACCAGCCCCTGGTCAGACATGTGGCCACACCCACCTCTGCTATCTGCAGAACACGGTCCATGATGGGCATCTGTGCCTGCCCAGGCTGGGTCCCCAGGTTCCCATCAAAGCGTGAAAGATCAAAAGGGATCAGGCAGGTCACAGAGAGCCACAGCAAAAGCATGTAGCGGGTCTCCCATGTCTGAGAAGCCAAGACACAAAATGAAAGGAGAGAAATGACCGCCACACTCCCAGACAGTCCTGCTGTCCTCCCAAGCCCACTCAGCATCACAAACGCCAACCAGCCCCAAGCCAGAGAGCAGATGTCTACCAGCCCTGCCCCACATCCCTCCTGCATCCCACCATGCGCACCTACCCCAGTCTCACCTAACTCAGCAAACAAAAGAAACATCAAAGTGAGCACAGGAAACCCACATCAACATAGTGGTTGCTCTTCACTGACACCTTTCAATGTGCAAATCAGTCTTCTGAAAAAGGGTAAACCAGCCCAACACGACGGGGCATACCTGGGATCCCAGCTCCTCAGAAGGCTGAGGCAGGAGGATCACAAGTCTGAGGGCAGCCTGAGCAACTTAGCAAGTTTAATCCCCAGTGCCACAAAAAGAAAAATATGACCTTATTTTCAGGAATCAACAAACCAAGAGGCCATGGGGGCCCCAGAAGAAAAAGGAAAGAAGGGCGTCCGGCACAGAGGAGAGCAAGGAAAGGCCCAGGAGTTGTCCATGATGTTCAGAACAGTCATGACGGGGCAATGCATGAGTCACACAGTCAACAGCTCTGCTTTTCTGCGTGCATACTGTACAGCAGGACCCACAGGAGGGCCGCTGGCATCCAGGAGCTTGGACTTAGCAGGAATGGGCCACGTCCCGGCTCCTGACGGTGACTCACTGGACAGACTTCTAGTGTCCCCTGTGGTGTGTGCCAAGCACCTGCCTTCCTTCTGGAATCTGCAGTCTCCACCAGCCAGGCCAGGTGCCTATGTGAGCTGCCCGGGGAAAACAAGGGCACTGGTCTCAAGACCATCTGGGGAACGAGGGCCTGTGCGATCCAGCCAGGTGAGCATCGACTCTGCCCCTGCTGAGTGTGCTCTGTGTCCTTGCCGTCACACACCACGGCCCACGGAGGACTGTGATGTGTCCTGCGGGTCTTCCCAGGCAATCACAGTGGACCTGCATGGTCCTGGGGATCTGGCACAGGCACATTTCAATTTAAAGGCTATATTTTTTTCTCTATAAAGGACTATTTTAAAGAAGAATAATTTAAAGCAACATGTGTAGAAAGTACAGGGGAAAATGAGATGAAACTGAAGGGGACATGGAATTGCCAGCAAGGAGTGGAGTCAGCAGAGCTGCGGCTCACCTCATGGTCTGTGGGGTTCTGCTCTGAGATCATATTTAACACAGGCTGCACATCAGCTACTTCGTGAGGAAATAAACGAAGAAATATTTTATGTCCTCGAACCTACCAAATAAAAAGACAATGAATCACTACACAGTTAGAAAATACAGACAGCAGCAAAGGTATCTTTTCCCTTTCTCATCAAAAGCCACCACCTCTGCGCCAGTGATGGGAGACAATGTGTCATTTTTCAGTGAGTCCAAAGGAGCCACAAGAAAGCAACTTTGACTTCCCAAATAATTTCATCCATTAATATGTTCTGTCCCTATGTGGCTAGCCAACCTTACAAGTGGCTCATCAGACATACACATAGGTCTACAGCCAAAGCACAATGAACACACCCGATCTCATCTGATCTCAGAAACTAAATCAGTCCTGGTTAATACGTGGATGGAAGAAATACAGATAGGGTACAAACTAAAGCTGGTGCCTCTACCTTGTTCACGACCGCCCTTTGACATTTGCCTCACAAACCTCACAGGCCCCCAGATTCATTACGCTCTGTAAAGTGTCCACAGTGTCCCCTCTCAGCCAAGGCCTTTCCCTGCAGCTCAGCCAGAGCACTGTGCGGCTGCATGAGGAGGCAGCCGAGTCCCTCCCACAATCAGGGTGGACACACCAGCGTGGGCCAACGCCAGGCATCCCCAGGCATCCCCAGGGGCCTGCCGGGAAGCAAGACATCAGCACCGTGCCAGCTTCCTCAGGACGTGCAGTGGACAGCTGCCCCAGGAAATCCATCCACATAGGAAATCAAGAACCACTCCATTCCACCAAGCTCTTCTGCTTTTTCTTTGTAAGAAAGTTCCTTTCTGCTAAATGACCCTCTTGATCACTAAGACTTGAGCCCCCAACATGTGGTTAAAGAAAAGAGAGCATGGAAACTCAAAGTCATGTCTAGGAACCGTGCTTCCTGAGAATAGCACTTTGGAGAGCAGCTTCTGGGCCAAGTACATTACAAAAGCATCTACAGTGCCACACTGTTACCTTGGTGATGATGTACAGAAATTTAAAAGCCAGATGTACGAGGGTGTCTGGAGAGGTCTTATCTTGCACCATGTCCAACAACAAGTTCATCATCCACTCTAGGGAACAACAGATAGCAAATATCAAACATTAATATGATACTGAAACAAAGTACCAAAATAAAAGTTTATGTAGAAATGCCTGAAGCCTACATAACCAAGTAACAATACAACAAAGGAGAAATGCCGGGCGTGGTGGCGCACGCCTGTAATCCCACCACTCAGGAGGCTGAGGCAGGAGGATCGCTGTGAGTTTGAGACCAGCCTGGGCTACATAGTGAGTTCCAGGGCAATCTTAACTACACAGTGAGACCCTGTCTCAAAAAATAAAACAAAACAAAACAACAAAGGAGAAATGCATGTTCATCTCATTCATGTCACTACACATCCACTCATACTCTCAAATGTAGAAGAAAAAGCATCTCTAGCCCATATTTGAGACCATACTTTACAAAAGACACCTGCCACAGCTGCTATGATTTACCAATGTAATAACTCTGAAAGAAAAGAAATAGGATTTCTGCTTTCAGTCGTAAATGAGTGGCTGACCTAGAATTTGCCCTATCCTACATCAATGGTTAGAAAACTAAATAAAATACACACAGCTATAATCTTCAGACACACAACAGGTAGTATATGTGTGCGTGCCCCAAAGCAGGACAAACAACCAACCGAACCGCAGTGCCGCCCTGCCATCTGCAGGGAGGCCGGGATGGAACTCGGTGAAGGAAGGGGCCACGCAGGGCACAGCAATGCCAACAGAGCAAAGAGATGGTGTCCAGGGGCAAAGTCAGCTGAACAGAGCAGGGCGAGGGTCCAGTGAGGAAGCCACATGGAACACCAGCTCTGCAGATCATCGGGGAGGTGCGGGAGGCCTGGCTGAGTCCCCCGGGGCAGAGTAGTATAAATGCTACAAATATGCTTAAGAGTATCAAAGAAAACACGAATAATAGGAGGCAAGAGATAGAAAATACTAAAAAGAAAAAAAAGCAGAGAGCTGGGGGTGTAGCTCAGTGGCAGAGCACTACTTAGCATGTATGAAGCTTAGCACCACAGGGGAAAAAAAGGAACCTTGGAAACAGGGAACAATCTAGTTCTAAAGTGAAAGTTTAAGTAAAGGAGATTAACAGCTGACTGCACACTGCAGAAGAAAAGATCAGCAAACCTGAAGACATTTCAACACAAAAGAGAAAAAAAAGACAAAAAAAATCAAAATGTATAGTAATATCCATGTAATCAGAGTCCCAGAAGATTAATAAGGCAAGGGCAGAGAAGTTACGGAGAAACAGCCAAAACTTTTCATTCCTTCTTCTTTTGACACAGTTTTACTACTTCCCTAGGCTAGCCTTGAACTTGAGATCCTCCCTGCCTCAGCCTCCGGAATAGATGGGATTATAAGCATGCACCAACCATAAACTTCTAAATTCCATTAATCCAAAAGGTTCAACAAACTCCAAGCAAGATAACTGAAAAGAAAAGCACGCCATGGGACATCACAATCAATTGGTGAAATCAGTAATAAAAGGAAAATTCTAAAAGCAGCCAAAGGAAAAAAAGTACATACTACATTATGCATATAGCTACACTATACTATAAGTAGACAGAAACCAAGATAAGAATAAGCACAAAATTCATCAGAGATAATACAAGTTAAAGGACAGGATGTTGTCCAACATCCTTTAAAATTCTGAAAGAAAAAATTATAACCTAAAATTCCATATCCAGCAACCTATCTTTGAAAACCAAAAGTGAAAAAAAAAAAAAAGCTGAAAAACTTCTATACCAGATAGTAAGTTCTTCAAGCGAGTAGAAAATTTTAATCTCTAGAACAAAGCTGTAAATGGCAAATATATAGAAAAATATTAAAGACTTTTTCTCATTTTTACTTTCTTTATTCCACCTTATACCCACCCTGTGATTGCCCACTGGATCAAGGTTACCTAAGCAACTATATTTGTAATCTTATTAGTTGACTATAGTTTTGTCCCACCTTATACCTGCCTCACATTTTGCTCTATAAAACTCCCTTGAGAAGTGGGGGTCCATGAGTAACCCACCTTCCGGGCCCCCTTCTGTCTCTCTTAGGCAGAAACTTTCTCTCAATAAACATTTCCTACTCTTAACTTCTATTGTTCCTAGAATTCATTTTTCCAAACTTGACATAGGAGACATCAAGCAGATTGGGAGTTATAATAGAGTGGATCGTCAAGTTATGACCAGACTGACATAAAAACAACTTGGTCTATTGTGGGAGCCTAACTGAACCAGAGTTACAGGATAACTAATGATTGATTGTGAATTGTTGGGTGGCTGCTTTGAAGTAGCTGGGAGGCTAGATGGAAACTGTAGTGAACACAGAGACCCAACATAAATCACACCACTCCTTGCTTGCCTGTAGTGGAATGTTCTGAACTTTGTAATCTAAGTTGAAAATGGAAAAATGGATAATCAATCTGCTGATCATTAGTACGTGACGGTCAAGTATATGCCTGATGACCACTAGCTCAGATTAACTGATTCTTTGCCTTTGTCCTCTCTCTGTAAGTTTTAAGTATAAACCCCCCCCCTTCAGCCCTATATAAAATGGCCTCTGTTTCTGAGCTAGCCGCCCTTCTTGAGCTACTTGGCTTAGGAGGTGCCGTCTGGCCAGACTAATAAAGGTCTATTAGCCAACTTGCCTGGTGTGTTCCTTCCTGGGTGACTCTCGCTATCGGACAAGCTCCTGGAGCCTCGCTGAGCTACTGAGCCCAGCATCGTGAAGGCCTCTTGGCTGTTCACGCTCCAGGAGTAAAAGTGAGACACAAGTCTTACACTATGACTGGAATTTTGGGTGGTTTTTTGGGGTTTTTTTTTTTTTTTGTACCAGGAATTGAACTCCGCCCTCGCGCTATTGAGGCAGGCAGTGGAACCACTGAGCCAAATCCCGGGCCCTGGAATTTTGGTTTTAACTTAAGACCAAAGTCTTGAGTTATGACCCAAATGCCAGCCACGTGTACTTCCAGGTGGTTTCAAACACAGATTTAACCCTTAAAGAGCTCTAGAAGGAACATTACCTGTGTGGGATTAAATGAGAAATCCTGGACCAATGTCTAAGGACTCTGAGATCTGCCTAGAAGAAAGTGTAGCCTAAAATTATACAGGAGAGACACTGAAGGGTGTGCAGAGGAACCTGAGCCTTCAACTGACCAACTTGAGTTACAACTAACACTCACAAATATATTGAGCTGTGGCCCCCTTAGGTTATCAAAATTGTCTTAAATTTTTATGCCTTATGTCTTGAGTTTTTGTCAACTGCAGATGCCTCTTTTATGCATTGTCCTTCATTAAATAATGATAAATTTAAGTTGAGAACATGAGAAGATAAGTCCCATCACATTTTATTCCTGTGTTCTAAATGTTGCATTTGGACTTAGTTACTGAATTTACTAGCATTCCTTGTTTGACTCGTTAGACAACAGCACTAGGGAAAAAGTAGTGTTACAGCACCCCCTAGTAGACAAAAATTCTGTAAACGGGTTTATGAAATCTAGTTTATATCTTAAAAATATAGCTGGGCGTGGTGGTGCACACCTGTAATCCCAGCACTTGGGAGGCTGAGGCAGGAGGACTGCTGTGAGTTCGAGACCAGCCTGGGCTACACAGTGAGTTCTATGTCAGTCTCAACTCCATAGTGAGACCCTGTCTCAAAAAAACCAAAAAAAAAAAGGGCCGGGGATTTAGCTCATTGGTTCCGGCACCTGCCTTGCAAGCAGAAGGATCCAAGTTCAATCCCCAGAACCAAACAAAAAAAAAAAGAAAAAGAAAGGAAGAAATATACATGCCTATTAATAAAACACAGGACTTTTTCTGTCAGTTAATAAAGTCAATAGGCAGGCAGCCATTCTTAAGACTTGAGGAATAGGTTTCAATGAGACACTCTGGTTCAATCCTTCTCTATATGAGAAAATGTTGAGCCTGTCCTGCCTCAGTTTCCTCTCAGGTCTGATCCTCCTCTGGTGAGGAGGCAGCCTTAGCTCCTGAGATTCCCCATTCTCGCTCTTCCATGCTGAGAGTGACAATTCGTGAGCAAGCTGTCTCCATAACTCATCAGTGAAAAAAAAGACTCCTTCTGCTGATCTCCTTTCTGATCTTTCTCTGCCATTATGTATTCGTCTTTTTAAAGGCATGTAAGATTAGAGAGAAAGAAACCTTTCCCCCACCCAACAACTAAGAAGCTTTAAGTCGAGCCCACAGATAATGACTGTTTGCTAATCCCAAAGAGAAGGAAGTCCTCTTAGATGACGATGGACATGTACCCCATCTCTGGGTGACATGAAACACCGGAATTTTGCCCATCCAGAAGAGCACACATGAAAGGGATATCCCTGCTTAGTGTTACAGGCAACAGTCTTCCTCCTCAGGAGACTGAAGCTGAGACCCCACGGAAGGAACCAGCTTCTGGGTGAGACTAGAAGGAGCTATTTCCTAAGCACAACATTTAAGGGATCAAAACACATTTAGTTTAAGGGAGAGTCCCCAACCTCCTGGCTCTCGCTCCCCTTCTGGATCTGGCTCTCATCATTTATTTGTATAGAGGAGGAAAATACTTTAACTAATAAGCTGTAGACCAGATAGACAGCTAGATTCCTTTCAAGAGACAGATCTCTGGTTGCCTGGCTCAGTAAAAGCTGAGAGGACAACTGCGAGGTCATGGCCAGGGTTGTTCTCGGACAGATATCAAGAAGTCCCTCCGTGGAAGCTGGGTCCTGACAGCACAACCGGGTAAACAGCAGAAAAATCATTTATTTATCATCCCCCTTGCACTCCTCAGGACCTTTCTCTCTGCTAGTAAATTGGGGGAGGGGGGAAACTAAGTTTTTTTTCCAGCTCACTGAGTTAACCTTAAAATTCCTTGATTAGCTTAAACTACCTTCTAGTTAGACCACCCCTCCCTTCAGGAAGTCAAGCTGACTCAGCTTGCAACAAATGTTTGCCTTTCATGGAGAATAGCAATCAGTGGTCAACTTACATGTGTGCTTTGTGTATGTTACCAGTAAAAAACGGATTTAGTCAGGCTTTCC